TAGACATCACTGCCACCAAAAAAGAGATGGTAGGAGGCAAGGCAGGGACATCTGACAGAATAGGAGGGAGAGAGTATGGGAGCAAAAAACCTAGAGTGTAGAGATGGATTGAGAAATAAAACGATAACAAGCGGTGCCAACAGATGACGATGGCAGGAGATGACAAGGAATGAGGAGCATTTCACCCCTCTAGAGATGGCCCCTGTCTTGAGCCTCATGTCTGTGTGGGTGTCACCCATGCTTTCCAGCCACATCGGGTCCCCAGAGGTTTTGTACGTTGGCTGTTAAAGCCCAGGCCTCTCGGCACCAAGCCCACTTTTCACCAGGGTCCCTGTGTGCTGGGGTGGTACCAATACCACCCGGCTCTTTCCATGCTGTTACTTGGGAAGGTATCACACAACAACAGGCTGGTGGTCCATCCCATTGCGGTCCCTGGACCTATGACCATCACTGAGAGTCAAAATGCCCCTCAAAATGAGGCATCCTTTGTTAACACCAACATATCAGAGTATGCAAAGACTTTACAACAACCTAAGAGACAATACTGCCTTTGTCCTCTTTTCCTCCAAGAAGGCTGCAAACTACAAGCACTGGAGGATGTAATCCAAGTGCTAATAAATAATTGATGTCTCCCTTTAGCTTTTTACTTACTAAAAGGATATCAAAGCTCATTTTGTGAATGGTCCAGACAGATTCTCTTTTGCTATATCCACAATTTAATTCACAAATATTGCACTAAGCGTTAATGTTGAAGCAATGCAGTGTTCTCTCTTTACAGGCTTTGCAAAAGATAATAGACATGTTTTGGATTACACAGACTCATAAACAGATACAGTGAAGGAAATGCCACTTGTGACTTCAACAGATGTTTGAATTTGTAAATTAAAAAAGGCAGCACTTATTATTAACTAGGAATGCACTTCTTTTTAATATTAAAAGCCTGATTGAAAGCCTGTTGAAATCACTGGACTTGATCCTTACGGATAGTCTGCGTAATTCTTTGGCAGCTCACACATGTCGTAGGACAGTATGACTTACTTTATATTTAGCTATAGCTCCTCTCTTCCAATATGCCTATTTGCATAAGTCAACTAACGAACCATCTGTATTGGAAATACTCTTTCCATTACTGTCAGCTTTGGGGCAGCATGTGGCAGTTCCTTAACAGCATACATTAATTTATGCTATTTTTTGGAGCAGCAGAGAAGTAATTTGAAGTCATCATACTGCAGTTTCCCTGGTAGGAGTCTCCCCTGGACAGAAGGCTTAATGTTTCTCTTTCAATAAAGTGCTCTGCAAGTTTGATGGCCAGAAATGCTCAGGATCTTAATAGCTGTTTCATCTGAAAGACAGACATTCGGCTCCCAGGTATATCTTAAAACAGTACCAGATCTTTGCAAATTTTGCCCAAATGCCATGTATCGCTAAAGAGCAGAATAAAAATCTGCCTGTTACATCGGTGCAATGGCCCAGCCGAGCTCATGGAAAGGATTAACAACATTTTAACAGAGGCACGCTCTGAGTGACAGGGGCCTGATCTTAAACTAACACAAACTGCAGTTCCTGACTGCACCAGTTTCTTCTTGCTCTGAATAGAGGCGGCAGCACTACAAATCCATGTTGTCTCTGTTCCTTGCTAGCTATTTAGAAAGAGTGACCAGGCACAAAGCCCAGAAGAGAGAGCTAATTTCTGCAATATGGTATACATATTTTGCAAGCCAGCCTGCAAACTGCTTATCACATTTTTGGCGCTATATACATAAATATTCATAATTAATTTGTGTTGGAGTAGAAGGAAAAGCTTCTAAAGAATAAAAATAGCCCCTTCAGGCAGCTCATACCAGTGACACTGATCCTCTGCATTTTGAAATTAAAAAATGAGCTTCTTTGCATAGATTTTGCAGTACGCTGGCATTCAAGCTTCCTTTTTTCCCCTGTTCCTTCAGGTTGTGAGGGCAACCTTGATAACAGAGATTAATACCCTGAATCTGCAGCTAGAGAGGTGGAAATAAAGGCACCAAGTGAGAGATGACATTTCCAGAGCTTAAATCGCAGGGATAGCAACCTTAATTTTCCCTTCTCCAGGTCTCTTTCATTTCTAGGCTTCTTCCCACGTCTTGTTTTCAGGTACCAGCAGGGCAGGTGGGAAGATGCACACGCCCGTGCCTTTCAGATTGAAAGCCTGAATTCCAGTGGGGGCTACATAGCCTCAGAGACAACTTCATCCCCTAAAGGTGGAAGGGCCAATTAGCCAGTCCTTGGGACTGCTTGCAGCCATAAGCCCAGAAACAGTCAGGATTGGTTTAGCTGAAATATATCACAGTTTATTCAAAATCAAAAGCAGAATGTCTGTGGAAATTAAAATAAATTCAAAACCTTCATGAAGCTATCCAGGCTGCCCCAAAGCCCAGTGGATATTAAATGTATTTATTAAATAGAGGCGACTCTTCAGACTGGGATGGCAGACAAATCTGACAGGCTGAGCTCTGCCAGGTCTTTGTTTTTCATCCTTGCCTGACTCAGCTTTTCACTTTGATGCTCTTACTCCTGGGCTGCTGGGTTTGCCCGGCTGACACCTTTCGGGTGCACAGCCTCTCCCTGCTGTCTGTACAAACAGGGCCCCCAACTTCAGAAAACTGTCACCCCTTCTGCCTTACCAAATGGGAGTGCTTCTTCACAGCTGCCTTGGGATAAACTGAAGCCCATTTTTACTACCTCCCTTCATGGTGTCTTTAACTGTTGTTTTTTAACAGTCCCTATAGGTAGAAATTTGGCACAAATATGATGTTCAGCCCATATTTCTCAGTGCACAGTTTTCTGGCTTGGCACATTTCCCCTCTAACCACAGCACTTCATCATGCCCCAGCGTGGCCACAGACACCCGTTTCATAGTGTATATAATGTCACTGGAACCATCTAGACAAATATACATGGGCTGACCAAGGACAACAGGGTTTTAATTTCTCTCTTCCCCTATAAATCTTGGCGGGTAGGTCACAGGCACTCCTTATGCATTCTTTACAGCTCCTTCTCATGTCCCAGATGTGACCCGCTTGCTGCCCATCTGCTGGCTGTCTTATCCCCAAGAGATCATTTACCATTGTGCCACTAAAGGAAAGGAATTTTAAATGTTCATTTTCATGGGGTTTAGAAACCTGCATTGTACTGCCTTCCGCTATGTGCATCCGGCAGCTCCTCTCCAGGGCTGAGAGGAGCAAAAGCCAGACTACTTTGTACATATATATATTGGGTGCAGCCAAACAAATGCCATTCCTGCCAGAAGGAGATGTCAGAGGGGAGGACAAGGCTCACGTGGCTGTAGCTACAGTGGCAGTAGATGCACTGCAGTGCGATCCAGAGCCACGGGAGGCAAAGGGAGTTTGTCAGTTGTCTCTCACAGACATCCTGCACCTCCAAAAAATGGGTGGGTTTCTCCATCTGGCATCAGCCAAGACTTGTCCATTGCAATGAGTATCCTGAAACTCAGATTTAGCAGACCCCAACACTTCTAGAAAATCCCAACTCCGGGGCTTTTTTTCTCTATACATTCACACACCAAGCACTGTTCCCCGCTCTACAGTCCTTCCTAATCAAACCTCTTAAGCAGCCTGAACGCCTTGAAACTGGAGTTTTCCTGAGCAGCACGCCTGGAAAGCAGCAAGCATGTTGTGGCAGGAGTTGAGGTGCGAATATTAAAGTGAAGGTTGATGCTTCAAGCATGCTCACTTGCCTATTTGCAAAATTTTATGAAGCATTTAAAATATATACTGCTCTAGGGCACGGAGGGAGAAACGGATGAAATGAGATGAGCCTCACAAGGCAAAGGGGGTAATGAAACATGAAGCAAACATGCAGAGATAAGATGGTGCAGTACACCAGTCCTGGTCAGCAGCAGAGCAGATAATGCCTGGATGCACCGAGCGCAGTGTGCAGGCCAGAGGAAGAAATATTGACAGTGCAGGGAGTTTGCAGGAGGCTGCAGTTGGGGGGGGGGGGGGGGGGGGGGGGAAGACCTGTGCTGGAAGCAGATGAAACCTTAGGAAGGGCTCAGGCAGCAGGGAGGGGAGGAAGGGGCTGGAGCAGAGGGGTGCCTCAATTTCCTCGGCCAACTGCTCCTCCGGGAGAAAGGGGGGTGACGGCAGGGCCGGGGTGCTGGGGCAGCTCCGCGCCCAGGCTCCTGTCGCAGCGCAGGCAGCAGAAATCCCACCGCGGGGGATGGAAGGAGCGAGGGGGGGGGGCCCGGCTGCCGCTCCCCGGCTGCGCCCGGAGGGGCCGGGACAGCCCCGGGACTTGTGCCCCGGTGCCAGCGTCCAGCGACCGCCGAGGGGAGCGGGGCGTCACCGGGCAAGTTGGTCTGGCTGCTCCGTGCGGGAGCGCTCCCCCGGGGCAACCTTTCTCCTCCTCCTCCTCCTCCTCCTCCTCCTCCTCCTCCTCTTCCTCCTCTTCTTCCTCCTGCTGCCGCTGCCGGGCGGAGGGGGTGCCGAGGTGCGGGCTCTGGGGAAAGGCGGGAGAAGCGGCCGGGTCCGAGCTGCGGGCGGCGATAGGCGTGAAGATGCGCTGAGAGGGGGGGTGGCCGGCGGCGGGGGGGCATCCCCAAGGGGAGTGGGGGGTGGTGTGCGCACCCCGGGGGGAGGAGGGCGAAGCTCACCGCGGGGAGGGGTTGGGAGGGGGCCCCCCCGGGAGGGGAGAGCTCACCCCGCAGCAACCGGCCTCCCGCAGAGGCGCGCCGGGAGCCGCCGGGCGATCGCCTGCCCACCCTTGGGGGGCCGGGAGCGGCAGGGGCACCCCCCACCCCCCCCACCACCACCACCCCCCCACCACCCTCCTCCGCCTCGTCTTTTTCTCCTCCCCTCTGCCGCCTCCCTCCCTCCCTCCCTGCCCGCCTAGCTTGGGATGGTGGACGGAGCCGGGAGCAGCCGGCAGGGCGGCCCTGGGCGCGGGGGGTGGCCCGCGGGGGGCTCCGCCGTCTTGGGGGGCTCCGCAGTCCCCGCCGCCGGTGATGGCCAAGGATGTCCTCGGAGGGGGAAGCCGAGGCGGCTGCTGAGAGCGGGCCGGGCAGCACCTCCGCGCCGGGGGCCGCCGCCGCCGGGAGGGAGGAGGTGAGCGGCGGCGGGGGCGGCCGCCCCGGGCCGAGGGGTGGGGGGACTCGGGGGGACACCGGGAGGGGCCGGGGCGCGGTGCGGGCGTGGGGAGAAACCGGGGAGCCGCGGCGGGAGGAGGGTGCCCCGGCTTGGGGGTGTTTGCGGAGCGGGGAGGGGGGAGGGAGCCAGGCACAGCCCGCCCGGCTCCCCCTGCAGCCGCGCGGGGGGGGGGGGGGCGGCCGGTGCGGAGCCCCGCAGCGCCCTGCAGTGTCGGGCACACCGGTGGCGACACCCCCACCACCCCTCCCCAAAACACACTCACCCCTGATCGGCCGCGCCGAGCCCCCCCTGACCAGCTGGGTGGCCGCTGGGTGCGGGGTTTTACCGACGGGCCCCCGGCGGCCGGGCTCGGGGCGGCGGCTCGGCCCGCGGCTCCGCGCCGAAACGGTGCAGTGGAGGGGAAAGGGGGGGCTGGCCAGTGGAAGTTTGGCTAAATGAGCCCCTCAGGGTTTGGCGTAGGGGAGCCGACCGCTTCCCTGGGACTTCTGAAACGGTCAAGAACATTGCCGCTCTGCGAGGCGCTGGTGGTAGTGGCGGGAGGGGCACGCTGAACGGGAGAGGGGGTTTGCAGCCTGGGGCTCCGTGGCTTTCAAATGTTTTGGGCCAAAAGAGGAGGTCATCCTTCCCCTCTTTTCTTGAGGCCTAGGCACTCCGGTTGCCTAATCTGCAATAGAAAACACTACAGAAAATACAGCTTAATATGTTTCTTTTGGATCAGCTGTGAAGCGCTTACCGTGGCCTTGCACGTCATGGGGATGTGTCTGAGTGTTGACACAAAACCCTGAGCCACGGAGCATTGGCCAGACAGAACTACAGGGCTCTGTGGCAGTAGGTGACAATGCGGATACAATCCTGCACACTCGGGACAGCAAGCTGTCCTGTTTTAGGAGTGCCTGAGGTTTTAGGAATGCCTGAGGTTTTCTTCTACGCCCATGCCTTTGCTCCCAACTGTTTTGACAGGTCTGCCATTTACATCGTGTAATCCATGCACAGATCATGGAAGTGACTGAACTTTCTTCATAATACGGAGTTAAAACCAGATGTATGTGCTCCCAGGGATGCAGAGAGCAGCCTTAAAACAGGCAGAGAAAACTGAAAACAGAACTGAAAGCAACCCTGGAACACAGCTCTGTGCAGTGTCTGCTTAAATCTTCTGTTAATGGGTCCTGTGGCTTATCAACAGTCTCATAGTCCTGTAGTCAAAATCTCGTAGCCTCAACAAAGCCTAAGTGAACCTGCAGTATACTTAGGCTAACACCAAACAGCACTTGTTAAAGTACCTGCAATAGAAAATTGACTTTGCAGCTCAGGTTGAAATAACTGTTCTCCATGGGTGAAAATTAGGGTTTTCTCTGGTACAATTGCTTTTTAAACACCTGCAGCACGGTTCACCGTGAAGAGCTGTGGCTGGATCCAGGATACAACTGCTGTTCCAGCGGTAGAGCTCCCCAATGTAATTACTGCCCTGTAGAAGATCAATAGATGGTTAATGCTGGAAGGGATTTTTTGATTTATTTGGTCTATGACCAGGAGCTACAGAAGGCTTTCCAATATATTAAGTCCACCATAAAAACATCCAAGCCATTTCTAGACATGAGAGCACTTGATCTTTCCACTAAACACATTATATCTTGCCTCACTCATCTTGTTCTCAGTTTTTCTTCTGTTCCAACACAAACATTTGCACATTTGAGTCTGTATCTCAAATGCCTGTAACAGTGATATCTTAACACTGCAATCCTACAATATCGGTCTTTTCCTGATTCTTTCTCCATCTCCATCTAAATAGTCTTTTTGCACCTGGACCTGCAGTTGCATTTAAATGCCCGGTATTAAATGGGTGTTTCATGGACTGCTCTCTTAGTCTTGTCATTTATGGATTTCACTTAGATCAAATGCATGGGCTTAAATCTTAACAGTGACAGAAAATTGCCTTTATTGGGTAATAAATCAATGTGACATAAAATCCTGAGCTAATAACAGAGAATGTGGCTGAAGTCTTAAGTTTTTACTCTTGAAAACAGGACAAGGGAAGGTGCAGCTGTGGCTCAGGAAGGAGCGAGGCAGTTCGCTTACCTGCTGCAGCCCTCGTCCTCTTCTGCCAAGGGCCACTTGAGTTTACTGCTGACTTTGCTGGATGTCAGAGCAAACCCTCAGATTACCTGCCCGTATTCTGGTTTGGTTTTTTTTCTGTTGAAATATCGATTGCTCAAGGTGGATGACCTGGAACAGCCGTGCTTTTGGTGGTGGTGTAGGGTTTTACCAGCAAAAATTGCAAAAAATAATCGGGATCTTTGAGGGGAGGTAGTATAAAAGATGTGGTTTTCCAAATGTTTCAGCAGTTATTGCTGGAGATTGATTATCTGGACATACTTTCCTTTACTTTCCTCCCCAAGATAGCAGAACTTGCTGCTCTGTACTGCCCCAGTTAAGCTGTGGGCTGGTGGTTGTTCTTGTCTTACTTATTACTGTGACAACCTACACCTACACTGAAGAGTTGGTAGGGACTTTCTTGCATTTCTGCCAATTTACACCTCAATCGGGAAATGGTCTTGACTAGTTAGATCTTTAAAACTTAGTTGGAAATTGTTTTTCTTTTTCAGGAAAGTGAAGCTGGTGAGTACAAACATCATTTATTTGCTACCATAGCCGAGTAATCACTGAAGAAAGCTGAAAGCAGCAGGCACTTGGCATTTTGAAATGCATATTTGTCTTTTCTGTACCAGCAGAATCAAGCAGCGGTTGTCCATGCTCGGTTTTATCTTCTCTTCCATATTTAAGAACTTTAGTTGGGCGTGATATAATGTAATCAGTTAACCTATTCAAATAAAAGAGGGAAAACCTCATGGGTTGATGTTCCTGAAACCCGCAGTCATCAGCTCACTGATGGAGATGTTAAAGAAGAGACAGGCCACTTAAAACTGTCTCATCTGCCTCTTACTGCCAATGCGAAATGCAACAGGAGCTCGTTTCAAAAGCGCTATTTGTGGTCACAGCAGCACCAAGGGGTGTTACGAGTTAAGAAAATACACATACTGCTTGTTTGGAGTCTACAGCTTTACAGGCTGCCAGGTCAAAAAATAGCTGGGTCCTTTCCTCTTAAGCATGACACTGGAGAGACATCTTCTGCTTGAGGGATTGCCTCCATTTAGTTCTCCAGCTTTTTTATCCATTTCCCCCAATATGAATGTCAAACATATATATTTTGTTTGTCAAGGCTTATTTTATGGCATAAAGGCCTTCATAACTTCAACTGGGTAGCTTTAAATTGTCCCCACCTGTGGGTGGAGTTGTACTCGTGGCTGAGCGGCAGTGGAGGAAGCGAGGCAGGCGACCCTCTCAGGTTTATCAGGCCTGCTGTAGGTGCACCTCACTCACCAGCAGATCCTTATGGTCTGATGAAACCCGCTTTCTCACAGATCCACAGGAGCCTGTTTGCTACCCGCTGCTTTTCCAGCAACCTCTTCTTCCTCTAGAGGCTTGCTGTCATCCCCAAGCCTTCTGTGCTCAAGAGAAACAAACCCAGGAACAGGGGATGGAGATGGCACAGGGCCTGTGATGGAGGTTAGTGTTCTTCCCTGCCACCTTTTAAGCAGAAGCTGTGGAGGAACCGTTGGGTACCAATCTCCAGAAAGGGGCTATTTCCCTTGTAAACCTCCCCCCCAAGAGCTACGTAGGGTGCTGACCCGACAGCCAGAGCAGGGCAGGAAACATGAGACGTGGCTCCTGGGGAAGCTCTGCTTTTCCTTCCCCTCACCTCTTTCAAACCTCTTGCAAAAGACCTGCTCCACTAACACCTTGAATGATAGCTGCTGGTTAGCCTGGTGGGAGACTGTCACCATCTCAAGCAAGTATGACTGACCGAGCAGTTATTTCATATGCAGTGCACGATATTCCCTGTCTTGAGTGAGGGTCAAACAGGACAAGCCCCTTTCTACCCCTCCTGCCCATGCTTTATTCAGCAGACATAAACCAAGGAGTGTATCTCCTTCCTTGATCCAAATGGTGCCCCTCATAGAGAAAAAGGAAAAAGTCCAGCAGTAGTGGAATTGGAGGAACTGGAAAGATTTTTTTCATCATCCTGTAGTTGCAGGCAATATTTGCATTGCAGATCCTGTCAAGAAAATCCATGCTGCGGCATCACATCCTTTTTTCTGCTTTTGTTCTTTTCATTGTCCCACTTTAACTTCTGATCACGTGTTTGTTCTTCATGTCCTGAAGTTGTCTGCCTTCTCTGCACTTCACACAAGAAGCTGTCAAGAGTTTAAAAAAAATAGATAGGAAACATCAAATGGATGTGTCTGAGCTCTGAAGGGCAGCCTGTGCTCCAGCTGCGTGGGATTTTATGGGCAAAGTCTTCCATCCTCTCCGACAGAGAGTGCTCCCTCGCCACTGTGGCTGAGACTGAAGTGAATTGCTCCTTCTGGCTGACTTTCCCAATTCCCTCCAGCAAGGGAATTTTCTTAATGGAGCATCGAGCTGGAGCAACTGGGGAGCTTGCAGAGTTCAACCACTGAAGGGCTATAAGGACAATTTGGGCAAAGAGCTGTTAAGTACATAGATGTTGCCTCCTGGCGGAAGGAGAGACTAGGTGACTTGGTGGTAGGTCCCCTACAGACCTGGTTTCTAATGCTGTTCTCTCAAATGCACAGACAATCAGCTGATACCAGTGGAAAAGCAATGGGTCCCTGCACACTGATCTGAAGCCCCAAATACTCTCCTTGTTCTCCCTTCCTCACTTCAGAGACCCCAGGGGATGATCTCCCTCCAGAAGGGAAGAGTGGATACCAAGGATGCTTTTTCATCAGTGCAAGCCATTGCAAGAGTGAGGAAGGAGGTATCTTCTCTCTGGGAACTGAGCACGAGGCTTCCTCTCATCTGTTTCTACACCTTGGAAGAAAATAGCTCAAATTATTGCCAGTGACCAAGGACACTGTGGAAATGGAGATTAAAAAGAG